AGGGAGAGTGAAGAAGTTTGGTGGTGGGGATTGAGAGAGTTTTCCAGATATTTTTGGTGAGTTTTCTTTTTGTGAATCTTTATGTTGAATAACTATTTTTGAATCCTCTCTGTCATTCTGTGAATTTTTTCCTCCTTTTCTGTTATGATCTGTTACCTCAGTAACTGAATTCTCTCATCCGCCTCTGTTCTGATATCTATTATTTAGTATTCTCAGTTTGTTAGAGATTCCAATCCCAGATATTGATTAAATCCATTCTGTTAGAGATTGAAGGGTGAGACTTGAATCAGTTAGAGGTTTTGTTAGAATGGTTATGGTTGAAGGTCAGTTGAAACTGTTCGAAGTCAGTTAGTTAGGATAGTTAGTTATTCTATTTCGGCAGCTGGGAAAAAATGGTTAGAAGAAGTTTTTTGAGATTCTGTTTGGAGATGTTAGATTGTTGGTTGAAAGTTGATGGAGGTTAGCAATTCTGTTAAGTTTTTTTTTTGCTGGGACAGTTAAGGGTTATGGTTAGAGATGTTATAGTTGGTTAGGGGTTTAGTTATGGTTGATAGTAACAAAATGATTAGAAGAAATTGGAGAATCAGTTATGGCAGTTAGGAATTCTGTTATGCAGGGTGGTTTAGGAATGAGCTAAGTTGGCTGTTTTTTTACACATAATTTATGACTGTATTTTTCTGATTTAATCCCTTCTCAATTTCCTGCAGGCCAACTATTATGTTAATGCAGGGGCTGGTTTTTTGTAGCTGGTTTTCTGTATTGACAGTTAAGGAGTATGACGATTTAGTTGCAAATCGGTTAAGAGGTTGTTAGAGGACTGTTTTTAATGTTTGCGGGGTTATTCTTATGGTTTTTCTGTGATTATGGATTCACTTCGGTTCTGTATTAACGTGCAGGGCTGCGAATTGAATGAAGGCTCGAGCAAGCTTGGCAAAGGCGTGACATTGAAGGCAGAATCATGGAGTTAATGCAATGATTTTAAGGCCATGATGTAGCTTAGAATTAGGAACAACATGATTAGGCATTGTAGATTTTGGTAGAAAGTATACGCCTTTTTGTATGAATTTCTTTGGAATTGGAATGTATCTTGATGTAATGTAATGAAATATTTGAACTTCCTTGTTGGACACTTGACTTTAAATCAACCTTTGACAAATCGTGACCTTAAAACTTTCTTGATGCCATTTGAACAAATTAGGAACCTTAGGCGAATGGATGTTGTTGAAGGAAGCTTGAATGAATGTACTTTCAATTGCGGACTTTGCCAGTTCATTTGAATCTTGAATAAAATATGTAAATGGAATCCTTGAATGGATGATGAACGAACTTGTGAGCTTGCTCGTATTGAAATGGTCTTGATCACCTGAATTTGGACATTTGTATAAAATCAATGCTTGAATCTAATTCTTACACAAAATCAACTTGCATTTCCATGAATCCTTAATTAATTTATTTCTTCTAATCCATACTAAACTTATACGTTAAACAACAAGTATTTGAAATAATGACTCCCTAAGCACAATGAACCTTCAAACTCAACACCTTGTATCATGGTTCAACAGTGGTCTTAACACAACAACAAAGTCTTGAGGAAATCTGGAGAATGAATATGGGAATATGGAAGATAGCCTTGACTTGAAAATCCAATGATCCTCAGTTGAATATTAACAGACAAAAACCCTAATTCTTAAGCCTTGAAGAAAGATTGCAACTTGATATTGAGAAGAAAGAATACCCCTGTAGTTTGACGATAAAGCAGTCCAGGAAATAAAACTCTAGCTTCAAACAAATGATTGATGGAGAAATCAACCGAAACAAGCTTGTGCGAAGATGAGAGACTTAAAGCCATATAGTAACCCTAATTCCTCGAAATCCATGATCCCATGCCATAAATTTATTGATTAACGATGCATGATATGCCAAATGACCTAACGGGAGGTATGTACATGAAACGAGAAGTGTAAAATGCATAAGCCAGATAAAAGTGAAAGGGTATGACAAATTTGGGGTATTACAGTTTCCCCTATTTAATCGTCTTAAACCTGAAAGTACGATTGGCGCGCCTTCCGAAATTTTGAGGTAGAAGATGATTAAATATCAATGCCAAAAATTTATTGAGAGAAAGTGTGAGTGTTTATTTATTATTGTTTTTTATTTTATTTTATGATATCTGTTGGGGAATTAACAAAAATGTGGGACTAAACCGGAGATATACGTCTATCAGGACACAACGACATCAGAGTACACCGATAAGGACACGATGATTAACATGAATACATCGATCAGGACATGATGATTCGCAGGAGGGGTATCGATCAGGACACGATAACCAAAAGGAAGACATCGATTAGGACACGATGGCTAACATGAATACATCGATCAGGACACGATGATTCGCAGGGGAGGTATCGATCAGGACATGATAACCAAAAGGAAGACATCAATCAGGACACGATGGCTAACAGGAATACATCGATCAGGACACAATGATTTGCATGAGGGGTATTGATCAGGACACGATAACCAAAAGGAAGACATCGATCAGGACACGATGGCTAACAGGAATACATCGATCAGGACATGATGATTCACAAAGGGAGGTATCGATCAAGACACGATAACCAAAAGGAAGACATCGATCAGGACACGATGGCTAACAGGAATACATCGATCGGGACACGATGATTCGCGGGGGAGGTATCGATTAGGACACGATAACCAAAAGGAAGACATCAATCAAGATACAATGGCTAACAGGAATACATCGATCAGAACACGATGATTTACAGGATGGGTATCGATCAGGACACAATAACCAAAAGGAAGACATCGATCAGGACACGATGGCTAACAGGAATACATTGATCAGGACACGATAATTCGCAAAGGGGGGTATCGATTAGGACACGATAGCCAAAAGGAAGACATCGATCAAGACACGATAGCTAACATGAATACATCGATCAGGACACGATAATTCGCAAGGGAGGTATCTATCAAGACACGATAACCAGAAGGAAGACATCGATCAGGACACGATGGCTAACAGGAATACATCGATCAGGACACGATGATTCATAAGGGAGGTATCGATCAGGACGCGATAACCAAAAGGGAGACATCGATCAGGACACGATGGCTAACAGGAATACATTAATCAGGACACGATGACTTGCAAGGGAGGTATCGATCAAGACACGATAACCAGAAGGAAGACATCGATCATGACACGATGGCTAAGAGGAATACATCGATCAGGACACGATGATTCGCAAGGGAGGTATCGATCAGGACATGATAACCAAAAGGGAGACATCGATCAGGACACAATGAATGTTTAGAAATTGACACGACGAGTGTTTAGAAGTTGACACGACGAATGTTTAGAAGGTAGCATGATGTAAACACAAGGACAGAGAAGACTTGTAACGTGGCGTGATGCCAATACAAGGAAGGGATCGAGCTTGTAACATAGCATGATGCCAATACAAAGAAGAGATCATACTTGTAACGTAGTGTGGTGTCAATACAAGGAAGGCATCTAACTTGTAACATAGCATGGTACCAATACAAGGAAGGGATATGACTTGTAACGTAGCATGATGCCAATACAAGGGAGAGATCAGACTTGTAACGTAGCATGATGCCAATACAAGGGAGATATCATACTTGTAACGTAGCACGATGCCAATACAAGGAAGGTATAACACAGACGAGTGTTTAAATCGATACGGACGAGTATCGAAGAAAGGTTAAACACAGATGAGTGTTTGGGAGACTGACACAAATGAGTGTTTGGAGAACTGATGCGGATGAGTGTTCAAATCAATACAAACGGGTATTGAAAGAAGATACATGCGAGTATCAAAGAAATATTTAACACGCATGAATGTTTGAAGAACTGACACGGATGAGTGTTTATGAGTTGACACAAACGAGTGTTTAGGAAGACTGAATTATTTGTCAGCAGGGAGTTGGCTACCAGTCGATAATTGGATTTAGAATGACAAGGTGTATTGATTTTGCTGGGAATTGTGAAGGCGAAGGTCATCAGTCGGGGATTTGGGAATGATACCCTCTTGTGGAGATGTATTATTGTCCTTGAATGATTCAGTTATTTCATGTAAAGTACATGATCTGGATTATGCTTCGTATGCATGTTTGAATTTCTTTTTCCGCAAAGATCCATTCTGATGGATCGACTACGCGCTTTTGAGGATGCAATGTTATGCAGTGATAGCTATATGCAATGCCAATAAATAGACTTCACGAGGATAAGCGAAGGCCCGTTGGGAATTGTTGCTCATCACTGGGGACACCAATACATACTGGCACTAGAAACCTGCAGTACCAAAGATTGATGGGGATACTGGGAAGAATTTGCACTGGGGAGCTCACAATACCGCAGATTATTGATGACTCGACTGAAGATTGAACTGCTGACGAAGCGAGTTTACGGGTACGTCACTGAATTCTGAATTTTATTGTTGGGGGAGAGATAACCTGGCCAGACTTCCCTACATCTTGAACAGTTGAGAGGATGGTAGAATTGAATATGCCGAAGAATGAACATCAAACACCATGTGAATCTCTCTGAATATATGCCCCAAGTTTACGCCACACTAGGGAATCATCTCTTAAATCACTCGAGTATAAAAGATGGGCATGGACACTTGCGAATGCCCCGGTTTAGCTCCACTAGGGATGCACTTGATTAACTCTACTAGGGACTCACTTGCACGTGTCGAGCCAAACGTCAACTCCGAACTTTCAGAATTCATTTGGGGAATCAGGTTTGAAATTGTCTGTAGTAGATGAAGGAGGCTTCATGCATGTCGGCCAGGCTAGGGTGACCGTTGTGATACTTCTAGCTTGATTGTAGTCGTCTCGTACAACAATATTGGCTTGAACAACTTTGCGAGTACGGATACGAAATGGCCCTGTCTGGAGGATTTCTGAAAGAATCTGTGCTGAATAGAAGACCAGAATATTCATTCCACAATACGATATGAGGTGGCCTTCCCCAATGTCTTGAGTCAAGAAATAAACTGCTCTTGATTACAGCCTTCTTGGAGAGATTTGTCGAATCTCGACATAACTTTCTCAGGTTGAATGAATTATGAATAGATTTCAATGTGATTGCCCTTGACCGACGACAACTTGAAGAGATTTATCGACGTGATAGCCTCTGATTGACATCTTTGAGGGAATGCCCCATATTTGGATGCGTGCGGAAAGATAGACTCTCGACTTGATTGCCCCAGATTGGCGGAATCTGCTAACTTCATCCTTGAAGGGTACTCAGACTGTGAAGCACTAAGATGTTTTCTCTGGACAGAATCACTGGTTAACATGCCCTTGAATAAGTCATTTCTCTTGTGACACCTGACTCTTACTTCAACAGAGTATTCAAGCCTCTCTTCTATGACAAGATTGAGCTCTTTACCGATTGTTCATTATGTAAACTTACTTGATGTCAATCAGTTATTTTGTATGCAGAAGAATGTTTATTATGAGAATGATGATTCTAATGCAACACGTATGTAAGTCTTGAAGTTTGAAAAAACTTTGAATGAAATGAAGTCACAACTCTGTTGTGAACGAGTCACTAGCTAGAGAGCAACATTTGCAAATTCCTTTTTTATGAAAGATAATGCAATCATAAGTTTAATGTGTCGACCCATGTTGCATGAGAAAAAAAGCTTCAGGAGGAGTCGACCCACAACTCGAGGGAGTCGACCCATTCGTGTTGTGTGTCGACTCATAAGTCTAATGTGTCGACCCATCAAAGGCAGGGAATTTTGTTTCAAAAATTCTTTCAGTGGAAGTCAACCCACAATTCGAGGGAGTCGACCCATTCATGTTGTGTGTTAACTCCAAATGCTAATGTATCGACTCCTAAGCATCAGAGGT